GGTCCGTCGGCGAGTTGACTGGTTACCTTTAAATCACTTGTTTTGTAGTCAAAAATAAATGTGTGGGATTGAAACCATATCTTGTCGTTTGTTTTTTTTTTTATTAAAAAGTTACTGTCAATTTGGTTTACTTTTCCTTTGATGAACATTTTAAATATTTACAGGCTTGACTTTGTTGTTCAATGGCCCATTTGATATTTCTTTGATTGGATCAAATCGTTTGCATTTTGATTGTTACGTGTATTTGACTCATTTTCTGCCATCTTGAAAAAACTATCAAGCTTTCAGCTTGGCTCTGCGGTATTGCTCATGGCATTCTTATGGTGATGCTCATGAGACTCAAGATCAAACTTAAGGGTTGCTGAAAACTTTTAATTTTTTCCTAATTAGCCAGTGAGCTTTGTGGCAAATTTACTGGTGGCGAGTCTTCCACGTAGTAAGATAAATGCAAACCATGAAATAACATTTAATTTCCATTCTCTTGTGAAAAGATATGATATAGAAACAGTTAGGGTTCATTATTGGAACAAAGTCTAAATTGGGCAGCAGATTTTTATGATCAATGTAATTTGAAAGTTTGTCAGGGAGGGGGGTTTGAGGTAATTAGATCTTTCTCGCTAAAACAAGCCCTTTTGACAGTTTTGCAAAAACTGTGCTGCTTAGGTGATATTTTCTGTTTCACTCCCATAAGTGACCAAAAAATTTTGTGGATTTTCAATAGCATTTTATAGCTGGTGTCCTAGTGGTTACTCATAGGATGTGTGCCAGTGCAGATGTCTAAAATCTGGATAACGCCAAATATTTTCAGGTTTTTTTTTTCTTATTCAAACTATTTTTTTCGACTAAAGGAAGGACCTGGGTTTATTAGATACTACACAATGAAGTTTCTTAGGGAGATGCTTATCCATATGACTGGTTGATATTTTATTTTTTTTTAATTGACCTCTGATTTCACTTTGCACATTATCATGAAATTGGATAGAGTGTGTTGATTTTGTTCCCTATTTTTGTCTGAAATATTGAGTAATTGCATATCAAAAAATTCTATCCGGCACTGGGGAATGACTTCTGCATCTAAAGAGATAAATACAATGAAATATACTCACCTCTGTAAATTCTCTGTGAGTGACATATAATGAAAGGAAGAGACATTGTAGTTACCCATAAGAAACTGCCCAATATGACTAAGCTTACCTAGTTTTTTTCAAATCAGGATAATTTAGCCCACTTTACACAGATAATTTCCTTTCTTAATTTTTTCATCAATTCTACATATATATATGTTTACATGCAGGGACTACTGTTATTTCTCCTTGGGATTCTGGCCTCTGGGTCAGAAACCTTTCAGGGGCATTAAGGAATGATTTTCCAACTATGGCAGCCTACCTCTGCCTTCTAGGCAATCTAATGCCCCTAGGCAATTGCCTTCTAGGCAATCTAAGGCAATCTAATGCCCCTAGGAATGCAATCTAATGCCCCTAGGAATTAGGGGGTTTGTTTGAAAGTTATCTATGTGGGTGATAAATTTACCCCTTTCTTTTAGGTATATTTAAGATGAAGACCATTCAAGGCATTCTGTGAAATTGTTTAAATTCCTGGAATCTGTTTTTGATCTTCGTAGTCCCCCTTACTTACTTGGAAGTAATTTTTATCTCTCCTGTTCTGGAAGCATGCTGTTATGGGGCTTGCTTGCTTGCAGCCCACTCCTCGGTATTGCAATGAGAGTGGGGAAGCTTGTAGGTTTCCGTGTCACGGCAACGCAAGTGTGTGCAAGGTCCTTAAGTGTTCTAGCTGGGAAATGAACCCCCCCCAAAGACCTATGGCACACTGGCTTTGCTTGCTGGCTCGAATCTCGAAGGCCTCGTGCCACTTGTGCTGATGTCACTCTTTACGGTGGCCAATTTATGTTATCAACTCAGTTGATAACACTGAAATACCCTGTTATGCTCTCCCACTGACATAGCACCAAAGTTTTTGTAGAAAATTACCTACTTTATTCATCAGCACCATTAAGAGATTGCAGGCAGGCTCGCAGGCATTAGCCCAAAACAAAAGACAAACTTAAGGTTAGGACCGTTGAGTTTGGCCGTTTTATTGCTCTGTCTTCAGTCAATATTTTTGCTCTGTTGCGCAGTGGAACATGGCATGTTTTACCCATTCCATTTCCTTAATACGGTAAAATTGCATAATTTTGAACAAATTGTCGTAATACATACATTTTGTCCAGTTTGTTGCGTAAAGTTTTACGTCAATCATTTGTCTTCACTTATGAAGCCGTGATCATTGTAATCATCTCTACAATTGACAAACAATACTAATCCAAGAAGATGTTATGTGGTGAATGACACACGCGTACTCGGAGTAAAAGAACTACAAGTGCTCCCAATAGGAGTGGAACATACGATATTCTGATGAGTACTTTGAATGCTCTACCACTGAGCTATAGGAGACTCGTGGCAGGCTTGGCCATTAAACTAGGTCCATGGTGACAAGCTTCCGAACTACTAATCGAAAGGTTGTCGGGTCGACCCCTATTGACATCTCTCGGAATTATTATTTTTTCCGAGTATGCCTGTGCCATTCACTAAATAACATCATCTTTAATTTTAAACACTAGGCTTAAATAATAAAATTCACCATCTTAATACAAATCAATTTTAATGTTTTGAAATGGGAAAGTTCTTCTGTCAGTACGATTATATTTGTGAAAAAAATTGAAAGGAAATTCTCGTTGTTTAATCTTTTCATAATTATTTTAGCATTTTTAAGAGATCTCTCTATATGATAGATTTGTAGAATATACAGAGTAAGTGTTATATGTAAGATCTGACTATGAATTGGACTGCATTGTGTTATTGCGGCATATAAGAAATCGTGAACACCGGAAACATTTCTCTAATATTTTTGTGTCAAGGAAAATAAGCCAATCGCGTGAAAAATCGTGACTGTCCGTTGTGTAAACGCTAATCAGGTTGTTCTTTTGCAGTTTTCTGAGGTGTCTGTTGGTATAACCGAGACTTATTACCACCCTTCGTTGCGAGATTGATGGTTAACTATCTTCACGGCCAGTATTGAGAGAATTTGCGAGTTCAGTGCTAGTAAGCTTAAAAAAAGACGAGCAGAATTCGAATGTAAACCCATCTCCATCATGTAATCTTTTGCATCTAAAACTTCCGTTAGCTTTTTTGCATTTCTCAAATGACACAAAGCCTTCGTTGTCTCCTCTTGAAAGTTGTAGAATTTGTAACTCCTCAGGTAACTGGCCTAGGAGGTAGTTCCTAACAATTGTCTCAGATTAGAATTTCTTCTGTAATATTGTTTCTTTTTCAGTCAAAACCATTCACTATTTGTGTTCTATTCTCATCTTTTAATTCAGAGAAAACTCTTGTAATTTCGTCTTTCTGTGTAAAGAAAGTGAACGAACCTTTTGCTTAGTGATTAATTCACAACACGGTTTTCTCATCCTGGGCACCAACGTTTTCTATTTTCAACCTAACATTTAAATCTAAACTCACTTGTGATATCTTCAAGCCTTTATAACTCTTTTTTTTAGATTATCATGTCGTTAACGATTGTAATGAAACAAGTTTGTTGTCAGTTACATAGATAAATACCATTTGTGGAACCATTGATAACCTCCAGCCGGTGAAGAACCATCATGGAAACCATATTGAGTTAACCACAGCAAGGAAACGTCTTTCAGGATTGTGCGCTGGAGATTCCTTTGAGGAAGGGTGGACCTGAACATGGCTGACCTAGCAACCTCTTACGGTATCCTGGGAACCGAATCTGGGTTCCATGGTAATCTTCAGCAAGCGAAGGACAATCGTGTTCGTGAGTTGGATTTTCGTTTGAAGAATTTAGGACCTGAGCATGTTGACGTGGCAAAGGCTTACGGTGACTTGGGGGACGTATTTTTTGCCTGTGGTGAATTTCAGAAAGCAAAGGACTATTATGGTTGTGCGCTGCATATTCGTTTGGAGAAATTAGGACCTGAGAATGTTGACGTGGCAGTTTCTTACAATCGCATGGGGAACGTATTTCTTTTCCTTGGTGAATTTCAGCAAGCAAAGGACTATCTTGGTCTTGCGCTGGATATTGTTTTGAAGAATTTAGGACCTGAGAATGTTGAAGTGGCTTATTCTTATGGTGGCTTGGGGGGCGTATGTTTTTCCCTTGGTGAATTACAACGAGCAAAGGACTATTATGGTCGTGCGCTAAATATTTCTTTGAAGCATTTTGGACCTGATCACGATTTCGTGGCTCTTTTTTACCATGGCTTGGGGGACATATTTCTTGCCAACGGTGAATTTCAGGAAGCAAAGGACTATCATGGTCGTGCGCTGGATATTCGTTTGAAGAATTTAGGACCTGAGCACCATTTCGTGGCTCTTTCTTACCGTGGCTTGGGGGACGCATTTCTTGCCTGCGGTGATTTTCAGGAAGCAAAGGACTGTTATGATCGTGCGCTAAATATTTTTTTGAAGAATTTTGGACCTGAGCACGATCTCGTGGCTCTTTCTTACAGTAACTTGGGGACCGTATGTAGTTCCGTTGGTGATCTTGTGCGAGCAAAGGATAACTTTGAGCGTGCGCGTACCATTCTTGCGAGGAGGTCGGGACCTGAAAATTTGATTGTGGCAAAGTGTTACATAAACCTGGCCAACATCTGTGATGTCATTGGTATCCCTAAGCAGGCAAAGGATTGGAATGAACGAGTGCAAACCATTCTTCGCAAAAATAATAGGACTGAAAGAGCTGATGTCCCTTCTTTGAGCAAGTTTCAAACTGTACACTCAGTCCCGCCTTATATTTTGGCCAGAGGATCCATCGCGAAGGCCGCTTATCAGAGAGCTCTTGAAACGGGAAAGACATTCGATAAGCGGGCTAAAATCTTGTTGATTGGCCAAGACCGGGTTGGCAAAACTAGTGTCCTACGTTCTCTTAAAGGTGAACTTTTCCGACAAGATGAATCGAGCACAGAAGGGGTGCAAATAGACATGCCTCTGAAACATGTTGGTGAAAAACCATGGAAGAATTCCAAAGAGGAACAAGAAAAAAGTACCTTCCATTACAAATGTGCTATAAATATTAGTAACCAGTTATTAACTGAACCACTAAACGAAATTTACGTGGACAGCGAAGTTACGAAGCAAACAGAGACTGGTGAGACACAGAGGACAGAGGAGATGATCAGTGAAATAGGATCAAACGTGGGTATGTAACTCATTACAAAATGTTGATTTGGTTTCTGTGTTGTTGAAAAACTTCATGCTAACAAATCACAGAGGTTGCATGTTACATTACCTTTTATAAGGTGCTACTAAGACCGAAAGGGGACGTGATAGGAGACAGGTTGTTGTTGGAGTTTTAAAATTCAACACCTCACACACAAGTAACGACGATATTTTAAAATGGGTTTTTACGTCGTTATTTAACCCGTTTTCTCGGCAGGTCTGCAACACATCTTTGTTGACGGATTATTGAGTGATACCAACAACAGCTTGACACGAGTTTCACTCCTGAAGATATGCTTCTAGAACAGTCTATGATCACATCATGTTATTTTTAAATCAGTATGCATGGCTAAGCTCACGACTTCATCGTAACAAGGAAAACAATAGACCCTTACGGAATTTTTTCGAATATTATACAACTTTACTCAGCACGCAAAATTATAATCTTACGTTTTTAAACCTGAAAAACAAGCCGTCAAAGTAAAGCAAAAGACAAAAAGGGAAAAAAAAAACGGCAAGGACAACCATAACACAACAGTGAAATATCATTGGGTTAAATGGAGTTAATCAAAGCTAATTTTTTTTCAGAATTCTTCGATGAGGTTGAACCGAAGAGTCCATCAAAGGTTTTTAATACATTTTATTATTCATTTATATTTAAACGTGATATTTAAGCTTTTTATGAATGGCCAACTTCCACTCCAACTTTGCTAATTGAATTGACTTGTGTGTGTTTTCGGTTCTATTCAGGAAAAGCAAGATCATGATATAGAAACCAGGACTCGGGTGAACTCAGATATAATTTCTCCGATAACACAAGGAGACAACGGGCATCATGAGAAGCGAAACAGTGACATGCCTGATGACGTGGCGCGACTTACAACTGAAAACCTCTCGAGGATAGAGTCAGTGAAGGATGACGGCATTTGGCCAGTTTGCATGGATTTTGGTGGTCAAGCCATTTACCGTGCTATTCATCCTATTCTCGCTTCGCGTGAAGCAGTTTATCTGCTAGTGGTTGATCCTACCAAAGATCTGTCTGCCCCAGCCCAATGTTTGGTGAAAGAGCCTGGTTACGACGAAGTTAAGATTCCGTCTCCTGACAAGAATGACACAAACCTAGATCACATTATGAGGTGGATGGACATGGTGAATTCCTTCAAACACGAAAAGAATGGCGACGTATTACCACCTGTCATTTTGGTTGGAACACACGCCGACCTTGTAAAAGACCCCGAAATCGTGACTACAAGTGTAAAGGACATTATTTGTGACACAGCAAGAGAGTTTAGTGAACACATAATCGGAAAAACATTTGCAGTGAACAACACTCTTGCTGGTAAGGAACTAGAGGAAGAAGATCTCCAAGTTGTTGCCTTACGGAAAGAGATTCTGAAGGTTGCAGATACCTTGCCACATACAAAAGATGTGGTTCCTTTAAAGTGGCTTCAAGTGGAAAATGAAGTTCGTAATCTAGCAAGCGCGGGGACAAATTATGTCACAAGGCAAGACTTCCGAAAGAATATCTGTGACGAAATTTGCAAATTTGAGGTCGAAGATGACTATGAAGTACTTTTACAGTTTTTGCACGATCGTGGTTCAGTGGTTTATCATGGTAGGGCTGACGATCCAGGTAGTCTGGTTTTTTTTAATCAAAAGTGGTTGATTGATGTTTTGTGTCAGATAATAACGGTTGAAAAACAGAAAGAAGAGAAAACTGTCATTTCAAATCTCCGCAAAGATCTTGGCGAGTACGGCACTCTTGATGCAAAACTGCTTGATTACTCTTGCACAAAACTGGGCGTTGGCGACATCAAAGAGTCTTTACTTTTCCTCATGAAGAAGTTCAACCTTCTTTGTGAATATACGGGAAAAGATGGCAGTTCCGTGTATCTTGTTCCGTGCATGCTGACCTCCACACCGCACGATTCATTGATGCCGGACGTTTCTGTTAACCCAGGCCCTGCACCCGTTTATGTCACATTCACCACTCAGTACGTCCCAGTTGGTCTCTTTCCAAGAATGGTTGTCCTTTGCCTCGAATTTGCACAAAGACGGATTGCCTGTAATCAACCAAAGCTCCGGGCTAACTTTGCTCGTTTCTTTGTGGGAGACCACACTGCAGTCGATTTTGTTTGCTACAAGCGTGTGATCAAAGTAGACGTTTGGAATTACATCGATCAAAGTATGAACCCTGTGTACACCGAGCCTAACGTTTGCAGAGAGGTCTTAAGGTAGGTGCACGTAAGTGAGTCATTCTATATTCGGTTGGTAACTTTTAAACGAATTACTAGTTCGTGAAATCAGAAGTGGTTTTTGTTGCGATGTGAATCGATCCGACAAGTTTAGTTTTTTCATAACATTGTCAACCCTCTGATAGTGTAATGCGTGTCATAGTTACGATGTTGTTTTAAAGGAGGCTAAAGTCTAGTTCATTTCTCTCGGGTGAACATTGTGTACATTACGTACTTTCCGGACATTAATGTATCTACGTGAAAGATTTTTAAGAGAAAATATCAACCCCTTTGATAAAAGTCTTTCCCTCTCTTTCAGCTTTTTGAAGACTAGTTTGGAGAGGCTGCACGAGGAGAATCATTGGCTGCAAACAGTATCATGGGATCTCTGCGCGAGGTGCAATTTGTGTCGGCCCCAGTTTGTTCCTGGAACCGCAAAGTGTCATTGGCATGCGAAAGCAGATTGTTGCCATGATGATTGTGTGCATTATGTTTCCCTGACAAGGAAGCCTGTCGTTTGCTCGCATACACTGCGGGGTCCAAAGGTTTGTCCGCCCAAGACTTGGAGTCAGGTAAAGCTAATTCAAGTTTCTTGCGATCAGGTTTTCGTTCCATTTAACCTGGAAAGGGGATTGGAATCAGGTTTGGTCAGACCTTAATAAAGCTCTGAGTGGCCTTAAGACTGGAAATGATAACATTTAAAACGTTGAAGAAGTACATTCCTATTGCCTTCTATTTAATGTTCCAGTTGATTTCACGACTCAGGACTTTGCCCGGAAGCTTTTTGTCCCTATAATGGTTGGGTTTGCCCTTTGGATGGTTATTTGGAGAATACTAACACTACGAGTTATTTATTTGGTTTCAGGTCTTGGAGGATGCCACTGACAAAAACTACAGTAGTAAGTCTTTACAAAGCTTTCCTTAGACTAATGGTAACTAATTATTACTAGTTTTGCTAGAAAAGTGCGTAAAGTTTCGACTATACCTTTTCTTGGTTGTCGAACGTTTCTCGTAAAAAGTCAACATTTACTGACCAAGAGGAAAAATGTATGCCTTCATTGCCCCTGTCGTCATAAGGACAAGCCAACGAACTAATTTGATACCTTGTGGAGGTCAGAATGCGAATACACTTTATGACCGACATTCTTAAGTTGAAGGCAACTAAACAAGCTCGTTTTCCCTTAAAAATAATATAATATTTGGACTTAAAAAATGAAATTATAGCCATGAGTATTTTTCAAAACTCGGTCAGTGCCTACCCTAGAGCACCCTTGCTATCAGCTAAAATTTATTTAAATGTTTAACCCTTTTAGAAGCCCCTCCCTTCCTACCCCCCCCCCCTCTTACTTAAAGAGTTATTTTGTCTCCATAGCTTTGATTTCTTTCAATTGTTTCCTCGTTTAACCAAGATTCAGCGCGGTCAAGGTTGAATCCAATCATACACTCTTTATTTGCAGATTTTGATAGAACAGTGACAAACCAAGGAAGGGAGTCGTTTATTTGCGAGGAAGTGTCTCTCGCAGGTGTGTCAATATTCTTTTATCAAATTGTAGTGCTTTCATTCTTCTACTGCGCTCTTTTTATGACATTCCTTTCAATACTCCTAGGAAAAGTTTTAAAAGAAGGCACTCTGTGTAGTGATGATCACCAGGGACTGTCGAACTCCATCTCAAAAGGCTGGAGGAAGCTTGGACGCCTGCTGGGTATTCGCGAGGAAGACCTTGATGACATCGATGAAAGAGGACGTGATTATTTTGACAAGGCTTATCAAATGTTACGTTTGTGGAAGGAAAAAAATGCTTCGAATGCCACTTATCGTGTTCTGTGCCGAGCATTGTGCGACGAGTGTTTAAATCGAAGAGACCTAGCCGAAAGATTTTGCTTTCGCCAAGAATGCCATCCTCGGTATGGGAATAACTGATAATTGGGAGGACTGACGCAAAGATGACGTCATCATTACAAACATATGTTATTTTATTATTGTATGATATAAATATATTCCATGTTACCGCGGGTCTGTACAGTAAAAGATCAAAGAAGACGTCACTAAGTAGGTGGTATGACGTCGGCTGTGATGTGCAACTGAACCGACTTACGGAGAGTAATTATATTTAAAAACGGGAAATTAGAATTTTTTGTAAAAAATCCATGTACGAAAAAAGAGACTAGGCTCAAAACTCTGTAGGAAATGTGTGTTAAATTTGTAAAATGAACCACAACGTTTGGCTAAAATAAAAACTTCTTTGATTTCCAAGCAAAGGGGGACAAATTTACGCGAACGAAAGATCACAAACAACTCACTAAAACTCCGCGAAAACAAACTAAAAGTACACAAAAAGTGTCCACGTTAGTTTTCCAATATCACGGTTAGAGTTCTTTGGATAATTTGTGATTTTTTCTTTTTGTATTCATGCGGGGCGCGTGAATACAAAAAGAATACAAAGGGGAGAGGAAGAGGAAATTGTTACTTGAAATTTAAAATCGAAAGAGATTTTCTACAATTGTACAGATATATTTTTCCATTCATTTGTAGCCAAAAATTTTCCAGCACCGTTTACCCAATTTAATTTTTGAGCTTGAAATGTTGTAATGTTAAGCAGTAACATTTAAAGAAAGATATTGTTTGCTTAAAAAACCAGCGAAAAACTTCAGTGACAAATTTAAATAATGTAAACATTTATTACGCAATATAAATATACTTTAAAGAGTTCCGAACCATATAGAAACAACACAATTTTGTTTTGTAAAATTTTTTGTGTAAAATATTTTAGTTAGCGACAATTTTTGGTGCAATGTAAATACATGTAGTGGTGAGAGGTATTAAGTATGATTTGCGTTAATTTGTGTGGAAGCGAATGGAAAACTCTACAGTTTTTTCAATAAAATTTATTGAATTTACAACAATAAATGATGTGATTATAAGTAGCTTTTGTCGGAAATTTTCGTGAGCCACCATCTAAAAGCATAAGGAAACAGACAGCAAGTACGGAAGCAACAACGACTGAGCACAATACTTTTAATGAAGAAAAAAAACAATAAATGAGACGGTCGGACTACAGAGTTACATGATTTTCCACACTTTTCGTTGTCTTCCACAAAATTGTTATTTCTCGGCAATATTAGCTATTTAGCCTCTAGCTTCGCTGAGAGACCCGGACATGATGATCTTCATTGTCGATAACATTACAGCTGGTCAGTTGATGGTGTATCATTTATTCTGTGCTTGTGCATATTTATCAAGAGTAGAAGAAAAGCAACGGATTGACATGGTGAAATTTTGTGCGCGCGTATAAACGTGCTGTGTAGACGAGCGCGGTCGACGGTTTTCACACCACGAGTGGTGTTTTCTGAGGCGGCGTGTTACTGAAGACAGTCATACACGGTTTAAGCCAAAGTAAGACCTCACACTGGCGTCAAGAAATCCGCTGTAATAGTGTCTTTGAAATTTCATTATATAATTTAGGTTGGAGTTTTGACTTTTTCTTGAGATTCCCGCTAAAAAAATTAAATAAGCTGGTCATATGTACATGATATAGTATTTATTTGCAATCGAAAAGTTTCCAATATAAAGATGTTCTTTTCACACAACTTTGTAGCTCACATCCGACCACGGTCGCGAAATTTGCGTAAAAAGTTTTCTAAGGGTACACACGTGAACTCAAAAACCTCCTTTCTTGGTAACTTTAACGCGGCGATCGATCACAACCGACCGCTAAGTGGCTTCTAAGTGCTGTTTCCTTTGTAAAATGGCCTCGTTGATATAGTAGGTCAGACAAACAACGGATTTATTGTGTGGACAGAAACTAAATGAAGCAATGAGAGAATTACTGTAACGACACAAACTCGTGCGTTTGGCAAGCAATCCCTACATTTCAGACCACCCTTCGGAAAACCAGACTCACTTTCTGGGCGGAAAGCTCGTAAAATCTTGACAGAATTCTTATCTAATTGCTTTTCAACTTTTCCAGTTTTAATTAAAAGCAAATGGCATGTGGTAAAATCTTTTAATCGCCACTAGATTGGATTTCATCGGCCCCTCATAAGTTGATAGCGATCTTAAGCCTTAGTTTCAACAAGCCGCACTGTTAGAGTCTATGCATATTGCTTCACGCCGCCTTCCCTATCCGAATTAATAAAAATATTCCTATGTATCAAATGTGTTCCTTACGTGGAGCAGAATTCTCCGTGTTTCAACAACCTCGCCGACGTATTAAGAGCACTTGACACTTGGTTTACACGAAATCCGACGTGACACCCATACATCATTTATGAAAACTTTTACGTGGATAATATGCGAATAAAAATATTTTGTTAAGGTTTCATTCAATGACATGTTTTATTTACAAACAAAACTTATAAATCTCACTTTCAGGCGAAGAATTTACAGAAAATACAATTACTCGGGCCGCGTTTAGATTCTACGGGAAGCGCCTAAATAGAAGTATTGTTTGTAATGGAATATGGTTCGCTAGAACTTCTTGTTTGAAAGTGCAAAGCAAACGTACGAAGAAATCAGGGACAAGTCTTAAAAAGCAATGAAAATATTTGGATTGATGGTCAAGTACCGAAACTGAGATAAGAGGTAAATTATCCATGTTTCTTTTAGGGTGCACGAAACAAACAGACATAACACTGGAAAATCTTTATAGCTGTCTGCGGAGTCTTGGAAAAGAGTGAGCCTATAACGCAATTTGTAATGCCATGTACCAATTTATTTGGACGCCAAAGTTTGTGCACTTTATTTGTTCTCTGTTTCTTAAGATTAGAGGGAGAACTCACGGATCCGTCACGGCCGTGACAATTAAGTGAACGGATTAGGGTTTGTACAATCTTGATTCAGTGCAGACATGGCATGAAATATATTTTGAATTTTAGCAGTGACACCATCACGATGGGGCTTTTCGTGTCATCCGTTCTCCAAGTAAAATTTTGGTTTGGAGGGATTTTTAATTTGCAGAGAGGAATATTGGAGAACCATGAGAAAACCCTTCGGAATCGATCGCTATTGTTTGCCATCTTTGGTACTGATGCACAGTCCAGTGCACTCTGCTGCTTGTTGCAACCCTCAAAAGGGGTTGAATGAAACGAGTTTGGCTTTGCAAGGGGTTTTAGTATTCACTATTTTAACTTAACTTTCTGTCTTTGTCTGTTTATTAAGGTAAGAGGTTCAACTGTATACAACCCTTTGTTCTTTAAAGGTTCTGATCAGCCGCGAGAGGAGCCACACTCGACCTCAGACAGTAATACAAACGTCACAGATAGAAAACCTAATGAAGCTTAGTGGGCTCAGCACTCATGCAGTCGTTTGCTCAACTAGCTAAAGGGCCTTATGTTGTAAACTGAAGGAAACTTAGGAAAAGCTCTTACGAGATTACTCCTATGCATTGTTATGAAAACTGAAGCGAAGCGCAAACTTGTGCTAACTGCACCGAGTGAAGAATGTCAAAAGCTCCTTTCTTGTTTTTTATGTGCTTGTGTGCCTGGTGTACGACCTCTCCAGCTGCAGAGAAAAGCCACAGCATGTCAAGGTTACTGGATAGTTTTTGGAAGATTTCATCACAATTCTATTTGCAGAACAAGTATATAATGAAAAAGTAATGATGTGTTCCTTATTCTTCGGTTGAGAAACTTTCTGTCTCGATGCAATCTTGCTTAATCCGTCATATTGCTTCTATTAATTCTTATGGTCAGACTCTTTTGTAATCAAAAAGTGGCGCTCAAATTTCCAAGAATTGTTTAAAATGTTTTATTCTAGGTATATTGTTCACTGCTGGTCACATCTGTTGTGCAGAAAACAGCGGTAACGAAAATACTACTGTTTCATTGTTGAGGCTAAAGGATATCAGTTCCCGTGTAATACCGTCATGCCTGATGCAAAGTCCAGTAAAGTGAAAATAAATTTTGCGCAATATTTTGTTGATTCTGCAGAGCTCTGTAGCTGGCAGATGAGACGACTTTCTTTAGCTGGTTAATCGATTTGTAATAGCAGCATTTTGTATTTAGACGCACCATGAGAACATTGCTGATGTCTGCCATCTGTTTTTGCTATAAGCGTAGGTGTGGCACGGAATGATTCTTAAAATATTTTCTTCGGAGAACAGAGTTAAGCTGGAAGCATAAGAAGTTTTGGAAAGCGACTGTAAACGACTAAGGGGAGGGGGAGGGGAACTTGTTTTGTGCCGTTTTGTCTGTAGACGGCCGGAAAAAGATGTCCGTTATTGTTATCTAAGAGCTGGTATTCTTTTTTATTTATCAAGTTAAAATGAATAAAAGGGAAAGGGAAATAACCAAAAGACGGAATCTACAAAGCAGATTACCAAGTTGTTACGTATTTAATCTCATTTTCTCATAATCATCAAATAAAAGACAAAATCATTTTGATTTGGTGCAATACTTCTTCGAAGGCGGTGTCCTTGTTGAGAAAATCTGGTATTACAGGATGAATTAATTCTTTTTACATGAAATTGCCAATTTGTGGTGTTTTGCCGCTGATCGTAAGCGCGCGGTCTCCAATTCCGGACCTCCTGTGAACAGAGCTGAACTAGACCCTGTGAGCAGGGTAACTGGGATACCTGGATGGTACTGGATCCTTGGAATCAAGTGTAGTGATACTAAGGGTGTTGGATTAGTATACTGAAATAGTGAGCTCAAGTCTGGCTAAGGGCATACACCTATCTCAAAACATAGGCATGCTATGCATGCAAGAGTTATTTTTTGTAGGGTGGGTGGATTACTTGTGGTCTACATTCTTACAAAAGGAAAGAAGAGTGTTAACGTGGAAAAGAACGAAAATGTCGAATTACCTCACACACAGGTATTTTGTGGTAGATTATGTGTGTTGTGCGAATAAATGTAACCAAAAATAAACTGTATTGGTGCCACAGATACCTGTTAGTACAAAATGCAGTCAGCAGACCGGATACAAAATATAGACTTGAGACTGCAGAGTGGGTACAAAATGCAGACTGAGAATCTGAAGAGTTTTTACGTCTGATAAATAATAACATGTCATCTTACAGCTTACCGAGCGTCACGCAATCGCTTTTCCTCGATCAGCCTTCACGATTATTTGCACTATTGTGGAAAATTCCTGGCCCATTTCTTGATGAAAATCGATCATAATATAATTTCAAGCCTTCAATATACTCTTCTTACTTTGTGCGCGAGTTGGTTTGTGTGATGTCTGTACAGATTTTACCAACATAACAAAAGTAGATGATGTGAATAACAGTGATGGTAAAGCAAGCTTAAAACAGCAGAAATCACCAGAAACTACAACGGATACACAATTCGCGACTCAATCCAGTCCAAAATTACCGCTCAATAACATCTTTTAGTGTGGATTGGAGGCGAACAATACGACTTGTATATGCGTCTGTAAGTATTTCGAGCGTTTGCGCTATAGTGCTTCAAGTGATCGTAATCAGAACACGTTGAAATTCAAAACGACCGACAGAAGAGTTTTCTAAGCAAAAATCTCGTGTTCGTCATGTGACCCAGACCTGTCCGTGCATGACAACGTCAATCATCATCAAGATAACACGTGATCAGCATGTGAACACCTTCACCCTCATTGGATCACAGTTAATTGTCATGGTGTTGAGGGCCCAATGACCACTGGGTACTATTGCGCAATTTTTCCATTTTGTGGCGGAGGAAAAAAAAAAAAAAAAAAAAAGACGACAAAAAAACAAAGGCATTTTATGACTGGGCTACCACAGGTATCCCAGTAATAATGTCTTCGCATGCGCTAGGCTTTGGCGCGGAAAACAAATTTTGAGTCGTTTGCATGTTTTAACTTCCAGTCTGTTGCTTCTTGGCAACGTTTCCCTTGTTGCTTTTCTGTTACAGAAC